CATTTTCTTAGAAAAGTTGCTATTTTCTTTCAGTCAATCATAATCCAGAATTTCGATGTGTAATTTGCACTGGTGTTACACTTTTTGCACTGATGTTACACTTTTTGCACTGGTGTTACACTTGAACTGCACTACTCTTAGCCAATCAGAATCGAGTAATTTTTTCATGTGTATTATTAATTTCATAACACAATCAAGAAAACACCTGTTTCCCTCTGATGGCACGATGTAAGCCCTTTCCGGCGGCGCCATCTCTTAGATGGGTAACCGCTCGGAAATATTTATGACAACAAACAGGAGACCATGGGCTTCCGCAAAAACGAATACTCTGAAGGCGTGATTTGATATTGAACATTTCTACGTTGTTATTGACCTTGATTATGTGTATATTAGCTTATATTGTACCCGTGGCTATGTTACTATCACCCGCAGTGCCATGTTTATTGCACTGCTTACCGCAAAAATGCTGTCCCAAGGCTGCCCAGCAGCATAATTAAAAAAAGGAATTAATGTTTTCAGCTCCTTTTCGCGGTTTCGTTGGATTTGTTTCTATTTCTATTTCACACTTTTTTTCGACAAGGAAAACAAGGTTTTTTGAGAAGCAAAATTGATTTTTTAGTCATTGTTTTTAAATTATCTCTGTTTAATGAAGCAAATATTTTTCCAAATAAAAAATGGATCAATCTTCATCAAGAAAAAGTCAAGAACCAAGAGTCTGGGTACCATTAGAAATACACATGACTTCACAAGTTTAATTGAACACTGCCTCTAGCTATGTAGCTATTTTTAGTTAACTTTATCCGCGAAACCCCTTCTGAACTTTCGGCGTTGATGACTCCTCCACGCTTGGTCTTGAGCTAAAATGCTACTCCTTGTCATAGCTTTCTGACATTAGTCACGTGAACAGCACGTGGAGTTAATCCATCTCTCCTTGTCAGGCATATCCTTGGTTATCTACTGCTTAGTACATCTTAAACGTATGTCTTAACGGACGTCACGGTATTTCTTTCCATTTGCCTCTTTAGGAAGACACAATGTGTTGTTCACTTTACAAAGCCAGCGAAGAGACCTCTTCCTCTTGGGGGACAAAAAGGCATTTTCCCGGAGGGAACTAGACAACAACACACCCCGTACGTCACATCAGACCAAAGGATCATCACGTGACTTGGACTGTCAATCAAGTCTACATTAATGTCCGCACTGTTGAGCTTTTGCCTTGCAAAATTGCTATTTTTATTATATATTCTCTATTAAATAAGAGTTGTGTTTGCAATGAAATTTCAGATCCAAAATTGCATGGGATAGGGGCCATTTTCTCGATCATGACTATTATGGAACGAGAGGGACTCGCACGACTCTTGAAGTGTTTCTTGACTTCTGCCACTGCAAAGATAAAACGCACACCGAGTTGATGATATTGCAACCTCGACGTGTCACAAGGCTGAGTCTCCCTCGCATAGAAACCCCTCATACTTACCAGAGTTAGGCAGTTGCCTGTTAACTAGCGCACGTGATGAAAAGTTTTCAGGCGGCTATTCAATTTTGTCATGAAAACAACAAAATTGGTTATTCCAAAGCTAATACTGAGCAGGTGATAAACCGATTTACCCTCGTGATAGGAAAATCGGTAATGCTAAGTTTGACGGGTCGTCCCTTGTCAAAATGACGGGTGCACGAAAGCACAAGCGTCCCCGGGTTCCACAAACCTTTTGGGTTTGTTTGGAAAGGCAGTTTTGCGTAGAGCATTTCCAGGCGCATATTTACCGCGTTTCATGAACACTAATGCGCTATGAGGAAATACGCAGACTTAATGGAATCTCACCCGCTTATAAGTCTGGTTCCTGACTAATTTTTCGGGCATTACATGTATATGCGATATATCTCTTACCGTGCCACATTAAGTCTAGCGTCACTGGTGTAAGCTCTGTTTCTTCGTCTCTCCATATTCCCGAGTTCTATGTTTTCTCTTCCTGTATTCGGTCTCCTATTGCGTCGAAGAGATCCCACCAACTTAGAGAAAAGACCTCTCTGCGTAAACAAGGAAATAAAGAAGATATCGCCATGTGAAAAAGCACGAATTATGGTGTCGCACACACCAGAGAGAAAAATAGACTGTTTTGCAGTCTCTTTCTTTGTTTGTTTTGAGCAAGCACAATACTCAGCACGGCGAGCAAAATTTAGGCGCAAGTCTGAAACCTCCCACGGTCTCCTTCCTCGAATGTTGTTTCTCAAGCTACAACACAACCAAACAAAGCCACCTACCTTAGAATTTGCAGCTCTTCTTTCTTCTTCCCTTTCAACCTTAAAAATACCACAAAAATATGTTAAATAACGGTGTGCACTGCTATGTAGCCGGGCCGTAAATGAATCGAACTCTTCGCATACTATTAGAAGGATTGACTGAACACGAACATTGTTAGCTCTTAGAAGACCTCATAACCAACTCATAACCAAATTTCGTCTCTTTAGTTACCCTTTCTGGTTGAGTGCCTTTTCTTTTAAGGTATTTGTAGTTCTCGTGTATAAGCTTTGCACAATGAATCTTTCCTATAGTCATCTGTTGACAGCTTAGCTCTGCAAAAAAAATAACGCCGTCAACATATTAAGGAATTCTAGTTCCCATTTACAGTATACAGACAACAAAATAACTCCAGCTTTGATTGTCTGTTTAAATTTATCACACAGAAATCAAAATCCATAGTTTCCTTGTAAAGACGTCTATCACTTCCTGATATTCGATTCAACGTACTTCTTTTTAGACCCATTTAGACCCAAAGCAGACTAATTTACATGTGGCTGGACGACAGCCAACCCAGCCCCCCTTGCCTTCTTTCTCCAAACCATTTCAAAAGAAGAAAAAAAATCACTATCACTTACCTAACTGTTTAGGTATTAAACTATTGAGCACTTTTTGTGATGTTTTAGGCCAAACTCGTTTGATCATTCTCCTTAATTCAGTATCATTTGCATTCATGTTTCCGCGTAGCTTGATGTTCAGTGACGTTCGAATGAGAGCGAAGAGGGTGGTACTGAATGACACCGTGTTATCCTCGTTCAGCGGCATGTTCATCTTGATCAGGCGCTGAGGATGAACACAGTAAGGTTAGATAACTTATTTCGAGGACATTTTACCTCTGCCTGGCATTAGGAATATTACAAATTAGATCTCTATATCATGGCCTTCGAATTCCCCCACTGAGTAACATGAGGTAAGAACCAACCAGAGCGCCAGACACCCAACATTTCCAGGTGCTCAGTCAGTTAGTGCCAGGTTATAAGTGTTGGAGTTTTCGGATGTAATTTCAAACGTCTCTCAACGGCGCTCGTGACATAGGCGTGCGTGAAAAGAAGTCCTTTCAAGCTAGTTCACAACCTGCAATGATATAGTGACCGTGATTTGGATAGTCACGCTACGACAAGCGTAACAAGCCAAAAGTTTTTCATTTGGATCTGTCCGAAAGAGGCACGGCGTGAAAAGAGATGTCGTGATTTTATCATGAATAGCAAGTATATATTGATATACATACCTTATAACCAACGATCTTTGGGCATTTTTTACCAAAGCCAACAGGAGGAGACATGCTACACATCACCTTGTAGATTTCGCTGTGGTGAATACATCCGCTGAACAATAACAAAGATGTGTTAGAATCAACATCAACATGGTACGCCCTACCAAATACATGGACTGTCACAGTAAATTAAAATAGTACAAGAACACATGCGCACTAGCTAGATTCAATACATACGTGGCGGCGGGGTCGAACTCAGACCACACGCGGACAAACTCGTCTAAGTGATGCGGACCAAGGATGGACTCGTCACGAGTAAGGTATTCGAAGTTATCCATGATAACAGCTACAAACAGATTTAACATCTAGAAAAAGAGGAAAAATGAAAGAGTTCATGATCAAATGTCATTAGGGGCGCTTTTGGGACAGCGTTCCCAGAGGCCCTAACACGCCCAATACGTAATTTGTTCTATAGAATGGCAAGTCATGATAAGTATTCCGTACTTGCACATGTTACCAGATAGTCTCTTAGTCTCTTAGTCCCTTAGTCTCTTAGTCCCTTAGTCCCTTAGTCCCTTAGTCCCTTAGTCCCTTAGTCCCTTAGTCCCTTAGTCCCTTAGTCCCTTAGTCTCTTAGTCTCTTAGTCTCTTAGTCCCTTCGTCCCTTAGTCTCTTAGTCCCTTAGTCTCTTAGTCTCTTAGTCTCTTAGTCCCTTAGTCCCTTAGTCCCTTAGTCTCTTAGTCCCTTAGTCCCTTAGTCTCTTAGTCCCTTAGTCTCTTAGTCTCTTAGTCTCTTAGTCTCTTAGTCTCTTAGTCTCTTAGTC